AGCGGCCACCTCCACTTAGACATCCTGGGTCCAATCACCTGTGATATGCCCTCCTTGTTCTTATGGCAAATTCCTCAGAGCTGAGGTATACGTAAAGCAATTTAAGCCCTGTCTCTTTCCTCTAAGGGCCATTTGTTAGCTGTGAGAGAGAAATCCCACTCCAAGCAGCATATTGCACTATGTAGTCTTTACCCTAGTTGACCATGGCAGGAGACTCTACCTCAAAAACAACTGAAAAAGAGGCTGTCCTCCATTGCTCTTGTGTCTTGTTCATTCCTAACTAAAATGGGTCATCATCATTGGCAGATAAAAAAATAAAAAAAATGCCCTACTTAGCCCTAATTCAGCTGCACATACCCCCTGCAACTACTTCCTGAACTGTAGCCAGTGTGAGGAGTTGACCCCAGACTGAGCAGAGCTGTAAGATCCCCTGAGTAACCTGAACTGGCTGCTATACCGACCTTTAAAAAAAAAAAAATTATTGTAAGTGAAATGAAATGTTGCAAGAATACAAAACCAAAGAGCATGATGAAAAAAGAGCAGACAGGCACAATGAGGTGAGGCAAGGCTGAAAGCAAGGGAAGAGACAAAAGAGAGCGGAGAGAGGAAAAAGGTGAGACAGATAAAAAGGAATGAAGGAGAGACAAAGAGAAAGCGCATTAGTGGGGGGAAAAAGAACAGGTGAAAGAGAAATGACAGAACGGAATTAAGGTAATGATAGGGAGTATTAAAGGTAGAGAGAGTACATAAAAGGGAAAGAGAGTCTGGATTTGCATGTCATTTAGTGTCTCCCTTTTTTGTTTCATTATCTGTCACAATAACAGGTGTACTCTGCCAGGGGTGTGCTGGGTAATAATGTGACCCATGTATCCGCTGATAGGAGATATTAAATTGAACTCAAGACAAACACACTCACTTCACCGTGATATGACCTTGAGGAGAAAATCAAATAAAAATGTCCACAGCAATAGTTCTCACTAAATGCTCCTCTGTAAGCAGGTGGTAATGTAAAAAGAAAATGACAGAGCACGGTGGTCTCAGCTTTAAGCGACTAACATTGGTGTTTGAGAATCAACAGTGCCTTGCTGTTTTTGCAGGTGAGAAACTGCCAATAGCCCTCCTGGTTCTGGTGTGCCAAATAATGAAGGCAATTAGCTGCACAAGATAGATAGCCAAAACCTAGAGACCAACCACATTGTTCTGCAAAGAGATAATTAAAAAGCAATTGGCAAGAGATTTTGATACACTTCTATTATTACCTTGCACAGTAGAAAGAAAGACAGCAAATGAATGCCTGGCAGAGGTTCATTTCTTGGGAATGGTGTTTTTCTGTGGTTCAACCACCTGCCAGCTGTGAGAATGTTCATGCTGTGCATTAAATGTGACTCAGCTGTCTCTTTATTTTGACTGAGGGACTTTTCAACATAAGTCAATCATGGGGAGATGTGGAACACAGAGGATGCTACATGTGAACTAATCCATTTTCAACAGCTATGGTCTTTATTTACAGCTGTTATCCTATGTAGTCGAAATTATTTTTGTCTATTAAAGGAACAGTGTGTAAAGTTTAGTAGCACCAGGTGGTTTAAAATCGAGATGGCAAAACTATTTCTTAATCACAATGTCAAATTATTCCTTTGAGTAGCTTTATGAATAGAAAATCCATTATTTCACTTTGACTGACAGCATCATATATATATGTCATGTATGTGCTTGTTGAAGTTCTTGATTTAAGCTTAATAATGTTTACACTGTGTGAAATATTCAAACAATGAATATTCCATAAAATGAAAATATTCTAGACGTTGTGTGCATCTTTTCATATGTTTCCTCAACAGCCTGGTGTGTTTGGTATAATTGGTAACTTTGGGATCTCCAATAGAATTTAAAATACATTTCCGTGGGTTTGGACAAGGTTTGGCTGCCCAACAGAGTTTGTAATGACTGACCGACTGGTTGGTCAGTGAGGTTATGGTTAAATATTCCACAAGTTCATCAATCTCCTGTTTAATGTTAGACCATGTAATAAACCTCCCTCCTGCCAGAGGAATGTGACTGCATTGTAATCTTTACCTAGTCTCTTTCTTTACTACCACCACTGACCCACTTTTTCTTGCTAGCCCACGACCTTCCCTCGAGTAATAAAGAAAAAAATATATTTGTGAATTCCAAACAGAGGAAATGAGAGGAAGAGGACAAGACTGGGGTTGTAAAAAAGGATAAACAGGTGCCAAAAAGGGAAGAAAGAAAAAGGGTAAATATTAGAAAGATTGATGGACAAGGAACGGTGAGCTAGTTAGATAGATGCAGAGAGAAGAGAGAGATCTGATCAAACATTCAGGTGGTGTGGCCTTGTAAAAAAAAAAAAATCCTTGCCAATGAAGAATGCACTCAGCCTGGAATTTATTCATAGATGTATTTATAATGCATGCCCACAGAAGGAATGACTTCCCATGCATCTGAGCATAGCGTGTGTATGTGTGCACGCGTGTTCGGCCTATACATACCTGTGCAAACTGCAAGTTGAGTGTGTGTATGATTTCCTCCCATGTGCAGTCTGTCTGGGAGACAGGAAAAGTGCTGATTGATGAGAGAGCATTTGTTTTAACGAGCCTCCGGAGTGGATTCACCTTGAGAGAGATTTGGTTTCTCACTTTACACTGCTTCTACTGCTGTCTGAAGATATCTGAAGCATACACCATCAGTCTACTGCATGCATGTTTGTGTGCGTGTGCACATGATGTTTATTTACCTGTGTGTCTTTTGCTTGAATATGTTTGTGCAGAATGTGTGAGTTGTCTGATGGGCCTTTATTTTTGGTGCTGCCTGTGTGTGCTAGTGTGTAAGTCTAGCTGTTGTTTGGGCACATGTGTGAAGTGAGTGAGTGAAGGTTTACTTTATTTGTGTCCTAAATATCATATGAATTACAGTATGAATGGATTCATTGATTGTTAATGAATTCAGCTATTTCTCCAGTGTGTGAATGTTTAGCAGCAGTCATGGTCTTTGTTCATATTCATTTAACATAAAAAACACTGAAAAATTAAAAGAATCACTCCAAATAAGTGATCAGTTTAGGTTGTTTGTTTGTTATGTGATGTTTAATATTTGATATTGATTCAACATCATTACAGTTGACCTCTACTATATTTTGCAGTAACACCAAAATTCAGTATTTAAAACAATACATTTAATATCACTAAAAAAAGAAAATACTGTACCTTTGTTATTTCAGTCAAATGATAGACACTATTTGGTGTCAGTTTTCAATCTCTCCTCCCACCTTTGACAGCAGGGTGACTGACATAGTTCCTGGCTCGTCCACCTCGCTGTACGTTCTTTTAATAAGATCTAAGACCTGGTAGATCTCCCTGTGGAAGGGGATCAATTGAGCATCTAATTGGCTGACTGTTAACGCTCCATTAAACCAAATTAGAATTAAACATTAAAATGGTCTCCTTCAAACAGTCTCATCATATAGGAGTCAGTGGTGTTAATGCAGATCTATTTAAGGGGTTCTTGACATTTTAAAGATTTTAAGGTTCACGCACACCCCCAAGTATAACCACATTAAACCAGCACGCCCTGTTTTAGAAGATTAATTTCACTCCCTTTTTTGAAAGAATTTAGTAGTTGTTTTGTTGATTTGATATTAAATTGGACATCTGTTCAGTATCCATGTTGTAATGGGACACATAATGATGGTTACGGTGAAGAGTGAAAGCAGTGATTGGAATAGCCACTCTCGAATTACAATAATTTCCACTGAATGAACCGTAGAGTGAAATTAAACTATTTATCAATTTGCTGGAGAACCCTAGAGTCTCCTTTAAATAAACCCTCCGGGACTTTGAGAATCCCAGCTTCACAGAAATGCACAAAGAAAAAAAAAAGCGTTTCCACTTTTGGCCTCTAGGTGTCGCCGTAACAGACTCCCGCCGCTGTTCGCTCCTGCTGGTGAGCTCCCTGCACTCTCGTCGACTGTTTACAACACTCAATGGCGGAAGTGGCTTCACTCTGTGAGTTTTTACTGAATGTTTTACCAAGCATACCAACGACAGCTTTAACGTGCGAGGTCGGGTTATTAGTAGTGAAACATAGAGTCGGCGAGTGTGGTTGTTTTTGTCACAATAGCGCGGGTTTATGTGGAAACTACGGGAAGCAGCCTGGGTCAGCCTTTGCTCCACCGGTTTGCCCCGTATTAACGTTAGCTGAGTTGAGGGTGAGGATGCCAAAGTCCAGTTCAGAAAGGGAAATGTTTCCCAATATTTGCCTGCAGGGAGAGCTGAGCGGTGCTGGGTTGCTGTTAAAGGAGCTTACGGTTCAGTTGTTGAGCGATGATATAATGTGTTTTAGCATCACGAGTTGCTGCTTTCAGCCCACACATGCGTTCACACACACCTCAAAGTGTGGTCGATTATTTCTGCATTAAAAACACCTGTGGTTGATGTGGGCTGCTGCAGGAAAACTACTGGGTTTTGTTGTTGTTGTTTTTTTTAAAACTTTATTTAAGAAAGTGCACAAGCTGTTAAAAAATAATATTATTTAAAATAATTATATTTTTTAAACTACTTTATAGATGTTAGTGATTGACTATTTTTTATAATATAATGGGGATAAGTATGAAAATAAATAAATAAATGACTACCAACTCACATCTATTTGAATTATGGGACTGGGTTAATGGTGTTTGCTTGTGGGGACAGTGTGTTTGATTAAAATTAATGATTTTACTTGATATTAAATGTTGACTTTATAATTAATATTATTTTGTTATCATGGTTGTGGAACGTTGCCTCAATTTTCATATCAAAATGGATTACATAATTCCGCTTTATGACAGCTAAAATTCAATTAATTAGTCAAATGATCTTATTCCAGTGTAGTAGTGCAAGTACATGCGTTAATAATTGACATAAGCCTTTAACTTGGAGAAAGGAAGACTTGGCTGGACCATGTGGATATGGAGGGAGGGAGGGAGGGTTGTTGGTGACCTTTGTTAAGGGGAAATATAAGGAGGTTGTTAAAAGTTCAGCAGAAGTTCGAAGAGTTATTATTGTGACCAGTATCTACACGGTGCTTTCTTTTCTCTCTCGGTCTTGGTTTGCTCTGTTCGACCATCTGGATTGTAAAGCGTAAAGGTGAGCAGGGCTGAGGTGTTGGGGAGGTGCATGATGTTTGATTTATGCCGTTGTTGTTCTGTATGTAGAGGGAGAAGGAATACATTGTAATACACACGCACGGAGACGTTTTATGTTCAAATGACTTACAAGAACGTGCAGAAAGGTTGTTTACAGATTATTTCATATATCTATATATTTATATATATATATCTATATTTGAAATTTCAAGTTTACCGGTAAACTGACTAGTGTGCAGAGAAAAAAACAAAGAACTGAGAATATGTGTGTCTGAAACTGTTCCACATTCAGGTGTTAAGCCTTTTGGCACGCAATGACTCTTTGCTGTGTGTGTTATAAAATAGTTCACAATGTTTCATGCCTATATACTTGTAGAATAAATGTCTAATCTTATTTTACCTGAAGACAGAGTGTCTTGGTTTTTTCGCTCCCTATGGTTATCTGCACCACTTAATTTCAAGCAAGACATCCTGGATCTTGTTTTTTGTCTATGCCCTTTGTTACTGTTCCATATTAGTTTCAACTGAGTGAAACTTGAAGCTCTTTATCAAGCGGTGATTATATGATTGCTTCCTGTAATTGTTTTTTAAGGGCTGCAGCATTATCATTAAGTAGTCTGCCAATCATTTTCTTGATTAACTGATAATTATACTTCTCTCTGAAATATAAAAAAACATGTTCATTACAATTTTCTCATGTTTAAAGTGTTGCTTCAAATTGCCACACATTCATGTATTGTGTCAGTTAAAGCTGCAAATCAATTGCAAGGAAATCAATCTGCAACTGTTTTGGTAATCAATTAATCAGTTTGTGAATTCAAGTCAATTTAGTGTGATTTTTTCAATAATTTTTTGCTGTTTAATATCATTGAAGAATGAATATCTGTGGGTTTTACAGATAAAATAAATCTGATGACGTCAACGAGTACTTTGGAAAAATGTGATGGGTATTTTTCGCTATTTTCATCTACATTTACACGCATTTAATGGACCAAACTATTAATCAGCAAAATAATTTGCACTTTAATCAATAACAAACATAATTTTTTGTTGCGGCCCAAAAGTCACTATTGTGTCTTGAGCGACCCAGTGATCCAACCTTACTGTCACATGTGCGTGTTAGTGTTTGTATTCAGCCTGCTTGTGTGAGGAGGAATAATTAGCCCAGAGGAAAGCTGATGATAAACTGGGATTACAGACGAAGTTGGAAAATGAAATGACTTCCTTTGATCGGCTTATAACAAAAGGAAGGAAACAGAAAAAAACCGATAAAAGCAAGAATAGTAGCAACGGTGTCTGTCGCCCTGTCCTCAGTTCCAGGTGAGTCGGCTGATTGAAGACTGGGCTCCTGTGGATTCTGACCATGGATGAAGAGTTGACGCCTTTGGACTGCCTGTTGCCCTCAGGTACTGTCTTTCAAGCACGCAGTCCCATGGCGCAAACGCACGTCCACACAATCAATCAAATACGCAGGCCCATGCTCAGACACATATGGTATGTTCGCCCACCAGCCACATCTGAGTGTGGGACACCCAAACACAGACATCTGTACGCGTCTGATCAAAACACACTCTTACTCACATCGCTGTCACACTTGTCTTCCTCTCTCTGCTTCTCCCCCTCACTCTGACACACAAACAGTCTAAAGGGAATAAAAACTCAAAAACAAATCACTGGCACTTTCATGACAACAATGTGTATATGTATGAGATGCACTTCCCTGTGTCTTTTTCAGTTAGGCTGCATACATAATGAATCTTTACTCAAAGAGGGCTTGATCTGTTTGCTTGTAATGTGTGAGAATAACAGACACTGAAAAGGCATTTTGATGATTGAAATATTTCTAAAAATAATTATGTTTGCTCCTGAATAAAATCTCTGTCATCATATAAATTAACTTTGTTCAAACACAACACTGGAAAACCAAATTAAGTCTGACATTTGACCAAATCTCACTATTGTACATTTACTTTATCTTCTCCAGTGGCATGTACGTTTCTGTAGCAATATTTCCCCAAAGATGTTCTGTATCTGTTGATGCTCTTAAAAAACAAAAAAAAAGGTTTATGTGAGCTCCCTGTTGGTACGTGCGAGTGTGGAGGAAGCAGAACAGATATGAGCCTAAAGGCAGGTTTTACACAGAGCTGTAAAGGTCAAGGGGATCGTACAACAGTCTGGCCTGTAGAGGAGACAGCAGGCACATGTAGTCTTCTCCGTCTCGTGTTTCTGTCTTGTATTACAGCTACAGTTACATTTGTCATTTTCAGGTGATTTAAAGATCTATGAAGAGATCATTTTGTGACTTACATGAAAGATATTCCTACCTTATGAGCTTGCAAAGGGAGGCTGCTATTAGTTGAGTAGCAACCGACACACTCTGTTTGTTCAAATTGAATTGTGGTGTGGGGTTCTGACACTGGCTAGAAATATTGTCCACCCACAGAAGGATATAAATAGAGAGCTTAGGAATGAGAAACAAATGTAATGTCCCCAGAAAGATCAGCAATGTATTTGCCTCTCTCATCCTTCTTGGATTCTTCGGAAAGCAGCAATTACAGATGAACCTGGTAAATAGACATACAGTAAGGGTATTGTGTGCAGTATTCTGACCAGATACAGAAGAATTTGAGGGTCTGAAGTTGTGGACAAATGCACTCTTTATTCTGCTGCGTTACATTCCCGGAGTTATGTTGGAGTTTTTTGGATTGCTGGAGAATCTTGCATTGAGCTGTATTCTAGTTGGACATGAAACATCCTGTATTGACCTCTTGTTGTCAATGTCTGCCCATTTACAGAGTGGTATGTGAAAAATACACCATTAAACAGGAAAATGGGCAAAGGAATGCGAGGTGCAACGCCAAGAACTGTTTTCTGAGAGGTTTTAGTGTGAGCATGGAATTCTCATGGAAAAAGTAAAAAGAAAAGGAAAGGATAAAAATGAAGGTATAACTGAACATTAATTGCACCTTATTTTTTTTTAGGAAAGATTCCATTTAAATGACATGAAAGCATCGGTTTGATATAAAAAGCACTACATTGATAATCATTGATCGTGTTCATCATGGATCTGTTCACCATTTATTGACTTTGGCTTTGCTAATATTGTTTTCAGTCAAACGGCTTGCTTGTAGTCTCCCAGTGATCTTCTTTGACCTGAAGTGCGTGTGGGGATTCACGTTCCCATCTAACATGAGAGCAGCCTGTTCTTTTGAACATAATAGGGCTGATACGATTAAGCAATTATCAGTCAAGTGCAAAAAGTAGGTACTGTTTCACAAGAACGCAAGCAGAACTGTAGGATGCTTCCTTTCAAAAATAGTCTTTGAGCCTGTTTCAAGCCCTGGTTGGCTCTTCATCGGGTACCTGCCTCTGTACCTGATGAAGAGCCAACCTGGGCTTGAAAGGTACTCTAGCTTAATCAATTAAAGGAAATGTTCTTCAGTGTTGCGGTCCTTGTGATACATGACTGAGCAATTGACTATTTTGATTGAATTTTTAATCGTAAGTAAATATGATTTATTAAGGATAAAGAGATTGCTATTATCACTTCATTATGTACAATATATTTCCAACAGTACAATTGCATTATGATGCATTGCTCTCTTCTTCCTTGCTGCCTTTGTGTGTCTCTCCCTCTCTGCCTCCATTGATCCATTAATGCTGTAGTTAAACTACAAGGCCGCTGTAATTGTGCTTCTGTACATATGTTTGTATATACTTTACATTCTCACACACGTGTCGGATTTGTGCAGAGCAGGAACACAGAAGCGCTGTTGATTTTCTATGCTTGCACAGCTCAAAAATCAATAACGCAAAAAGGCCAACATCAGTCAAGAGACACTTCCGATTCTGATTCTATCAGCAGTTTTGAAGCATTCATTGAAACAAATGTTTACTCAAGCACATTAGCTGAGCATTACAGGCTACACTCTTGCTCGCTGTACAAATCCAAGATTTATTCTAAAGATTTCACCTGGTGTGCAAATAATCCTCCAAACGGTTGCAGAACAAAGCAGATCAGAGCACATACACACACACACACACACACACACACACACACACACACACACACACACACACGCTCCTCTGATATCATTTTGTTGATAAATCTGTCACTTGGTATCAAAGGTAAAATACATGTTTGGGATTCCTTGTATCATACACTTTAAAAATCTTTCTCTATAGTGAAACAATTTCCCCCGTTAGATAAGTTTAGAGTATATTTCTATGGCTTCTTTAGTTTAATCTCTAGCAGGAAATGCTTATCTAGACTCCTGCTGGAGAATATAAAAACAGCCCCTGGATGTCTGCATTTTAAAATCCCCTGTGTGCATGGTTAGCCTTTTAAATTTCACTATTTTAATTATAAATGCATATTCCTGGAATATCTATGTGCTAGGTTATGAGCTTGGATTTTGTGTGCGTGCATGTATGCGTGTGTTTGTGGTATTAATGCTGTCTGGCACTTTTAAAATAATCCCAAGGTGACATTTCTTTTGAACGAAGTGTACAAAAGGCCATGCAGCATACCTGCGGGTGTGTGCGGTGAGATGAGTGGTTTTGTGACAAGGGGTTATCTGAAAAGTCACGGCTGGTTGAGTTTGTCTTTTGTTCTCTGTACACCTCCAGCCAATTAAGAGACAAGACTGACAAATCTGCTCCTCCTCTTTCTCCTTCTTGCCTACCCCTTCTTGTATCCTCCTTTCTTTTCCCTCCTCTTTGGTGTCTCCTCTTCATCCTCTCTTCCCTTTCTCTTCCTTTTTCCATACTCTGCTGGGGTTGACTTTCGTACTAGAAATGACCTTCCAGTGACATCAAGCCTGCTGCTGCAACAAAGTCACAAACCCAAAAGACTTTTTTTTTTATCCTCCACATTTTCTCAGCCAAGCCTAAATGCACTCTCTTAAGGGTATGAAACCTACAAAGAGACACAAGGTGATGCACATTTTGCAATGAGAAGTTCATGAAACCTAAAGTATATTCTTTTACTTTCTTCTTCGCTGTTGCATTTTCCGCCCTCCCACAGCATTCACGATGTATCAGGAAAGGTGTATTGGGAAAGATACAAGCTTTATTAGACACGCCATGTCGTGGTTTTTCCGAAACAGGAATCCAGTTGTGTGGAATTTACATAAATACAGTTTAGGAGAGATGGAGAGAGGACACAGAGTGTTGATTGAGCTTTCATATGACATTTTGGCTTTGCTACTAAAGCCAACAACGTTAAAAATGGATGAGAAATCATTTATAAGGGCAGACTTAAGAGTGAAAGATAAATGAGCAAGGAATGAAATGGGTGTGAAGTGTGAAGGCGAGGGGATGAAAGGTTGTGCTTTAGTCTTTGGTCCATTAAGGCTTTCCAACAGCTGTTCTGTTTTTACATTGTCAGTGAATGCTGGGTTTTCCTTTTTTTTTTCATCTACAGATTGAAAAATGAAAAATGAGAGAGCATTAGTCAGGGGATCTGCATTAGCAGCAGAGCAAAAGAAAAGCTAAAAGCAAGATGGATTGGGGGGTTGAGGGAGGAAATAGATTTGTGAAATGATGCACCCTGGGACAGACACTTTGACAGAGAAGCATGGAGGTACACTGAGAGGAAAGAGAGAAGCTATAGCATGACAGGTAACTTTAATTTGCGCTGTTTTTAAAAAAGGCTTGCCTCTGTTGTCATGCAGTTACAGATGGTGTGTCACCAAGGTCAAGGTATTCAAATGAGCATGGGTGAGATATGTGTAAGTCCAAGTGCACAGATTTCGCTTTAAAATAACAGCTAAGAATAAGGACTTTGGCATTGACTGTCACCCTGGTTGAGGAGAGTAAAGGTACTTATTGGAGGAACTTTGTTACATCATTTTAATACATAGTTATCTATACATTGATTATGTTTTATTTGCAAACAAACCACTTACAGCCAAATTGGATCGAGTGGGAAACATTTTGAACTTTCACAAAAATTAAGATTCAACATCCAGTCACGTTTGGAATGATTTCTGTTTTTAATCCTCACCCTATTTCCCTGTCTGCATGTGGAGCATGAATATGACTTCATTATTTTCCCATTGTTTTAATTATTTAGTTTTTTATTTGGCACATTTAGTGTCACAAACAACAGCCTCCAATCTGTATTTAAAAGGTTTTGTTTTTTTTAAACATGCAAATGGTGATGCATTGTGTTTTTGCTATGTGGTTATTATGCTCCATCGTCTGTCTGTGTCTCTATCTGACTGTATGATTCATACCTTCCTTCCATTGCCTTCTGCAGGCAAACAGAGGATCTGTCTGATCATTCTGAACCAGCCTCTGGATAAGGACTACCTACACATCCTCTGGAGTAAAGGTATGTCACATATCACCAACACAGATCAAACCATCCCCCTTTATATCACTTAGATCCTGTCTGTTTTTGTTTGCACTGAGCGTGTATTCCCCTGTTGTTTTCTGACAGTGCTCTCTAGCCTGTGTGGCCTCTGCTCTGCAAAAGCTTAATTGCTTCCATGTCATTGAAAATGCCTCCTCCCTGCCCTCTGCCCACATTTCCTGTGAGATGTGTTTTAATGAAGTTAAATATGACTAAAGATCATTTTTTTTGCAGGAAATAATTTCCCTTAGTGCAAGGATGACTTATTATTTTATTTTTTCATTAACTCCTGTGGCTGAATGACCTGAGCATTCATTATAATCCAATGGAAGATAATATTTATTTACTTCCATGGCATTCACAGCTTAAATATGCAGCATGATTTTGTTGCCCCTAAGAAACTGACTTTTTTGCTTCATGAATAAATAGCATAATGATTTTTGAATTGGAAATTTCATTTAAATTTCTGACACAAGCATTAGCAACGGTGACAAGCAGAAACAGGATCATTTCCAGATAAACAGGAAATTGATGAGATCGAATAAGAGCTATATTGTAAGTTAAAAGGTTGGTATGCCTTTCATTCATTATTTTCATAGGTCATTAGCATTATCAGTAAAGCACTTATACTTAACTATACAATTTGTTTTTATTATAGATGTTGAATCCTTTTGAAAGCAGTCTTATTGCAACTGCAAGCTCTCAAGGTAACAAGGATAGCACATCCTTTCAGACTCAATCATGCGTATATACATACACTATAGATAAATGGTTCTTAAATAATGTGAACACAGTGTGAATGTGAGCCACTTCACCCAGTGTGGGACTGGGTCGATATGAACAAACCCACTGGACCTAAGACCCCCGGATTCAGAAGATGGGCGTTTCAATTATAACAAATTCCTCCTTGCCACCGACAGTGAGCTGTTGCTTACATCTGTGAGACCTCTTGCAGCCTTTCATCAATGAGGGGAAATTGTCTGGTTAGTGCAGGATATGGACAGAGAGGAAATACTTACGCGAGCACATTTGTGTCTCATTGCTGCACAACCCATATACATATAAAGTTAAAAAGAACAACATTTTCGGTGACATAGGGCAGAAAGTTTAAAGCAGGACACGGCTCTCTACATTCATATTCAAACATACAGTACTTACTATACGTAATACAAGCTCACTGAATGGCTCCACTTTAACAGTTTCCGAGTAATAGTCGTGCCCACGGGCAGTCAGTTTCACATCAGCAACCTGCTGGTCACACGTTTGCTGACATGAACCAAGGAATTAGATTTCAACCACATTTGTGTAGTTGGTAACTAGACAATATAAAATGTGCTTGATTTTCCTTATGCTTTGTGAATACTCCAAGGCCCTTTATCAGTGGAAAAGACAAACAGAAATTCTAAAAAATTCAAAAACATGCACAAAAGGCTCATTGTTAAAAGAGGAAAAATAGTTTTTTGAAGGGAAGTAGAGCTCCAGACTCCCTGAGGTGTCGCTTATGAGATGCGTTCAAGCATAGCGGTTGTGCTACTTGGCTGTGATGTATTAAATATGCAAAGCTGACTTTGAGGCTTTAAACCAGACAGTGTCATCTCAACCTGTATCCCACTACTTTGTTTTTCTTTGAAATTATTTGATGTGATCAGTAACAGAGCCTAACTGAACAAGAACAAATTGAACCAAACTGTGCTGAATTTTTTTAGGCATTTCGTTGTTTTTATCAAGGACAGGGTGGAGAGAAGTGGCCTGGATCGCTGGCTCTCAACAGGTTTGAAGCTGAGACCATGAAACAACAACAAAAAAAACTGTAGAAACCCTAATTTATGAACAATGTAATACACAGAATTATGCAATCAGGGAAGAAGGTTAGCAAACAAAGTAACTTTGAAGGCAAACTTGTGACCACATCAGATTAAATTTTAATGAACACAGCTTTGACATTCTTATCAACGTAGCAAAAACCCAAGAGGCACCTGAGCTCTTTCCATCGCACAGCAGTCACGCAGTTAGATATACACTCTTAATTTCCCCCTTTATACTGGAGGACCACTAGAAAATGTTTTATGGTGTTAGACAAAGAATTTTCCTCATCTGATTTCACGCCAAAGGTTGCCTGTTGCCCCAAGATAAAGATTATTTGGGTTATCTATTAAGTGAGAAGAATTGAAAATATAGAGTTTAAAGAAGGAAAATTATATTCATCAAAAGGATTTTGATACCTGTCAAATAAAAAGGGAATGGGTTAATTAATGCTAAATCTAATCAAAGCCTTACACTGTATGCCCAAGGGTAAAGGGAAAGTCCTGAAAGTTTTCTGTAGATCTGCAGAGTACTATCAAAAATCACATCCCTTGTTTTTCAGAAAATGCAGTTGTTATATTATTTGAAATGGATTTGAACACCCATTTGTAAGTTCTGAGTGCAAACAATATCTAAATTAAAGACTGTTTTTCAATATTCAGCTTAAATTGTCTGTTTGCTACCAGCACAGAGAGATATTAGACTTGTAATAGATTCTTTACGCCCGGCTGACGATCACTAACTCTCAATGGTATTTGGAAATTGATATTTTTCATTTAATATCCTTATTTTTAAATCCAAACTGCCAGACCAGCAAAGTGTAAGTGATCCAGGGATTCCATTTTACACATTCTGGGTCTATTGCATGCCCTTTTGCTGATTTTTTTTTCTTACCACAAATATTTTGTTAACCCCTCCCAATACTTAGAAATACAGAAACAAGGATCACGAGACAAGCATTGCATCAAATAATCAAACTAAACAGCTGCAGTCTTTTCCGTGAAATAGATGGACATATCAGATGGATTTTGACAGTATGATGCAGCTTGAAAGTGTCATTGCAGATTTGGGCATTTGCTCCCTCATAGATAAGTCTTCTTACAAAAAAAAAAGTTGGTTTCTTAAGTGCCACGGGCATTTGCTGTGGTGTGGATGTCAGAAATTGGGAAGCTTTCTTGATCCGTTTGGCTCTTGGCAGCATTGCACATGGGACTTGAAGAAGTTTTTGACAGGATGATGATGGTGCGTGAATGGCAGATCTCAGATCTCTCGCAGTGTGATGGTAAACAAGCTTGTAGCAAGTTTATCGTTCCTCACTTGATATGCCATGTATTTTTAATGTTGTTTATGGGATAAGCTGATGTCGGTGTGCGCATGAGCGTGTCTTGAGTGTGTCGCTCTCCAGATGATTGTTCACCTGGAAGCATCGTAGCCAGGTCTCCACCCTTGCAGACACTTACACACACATATGCATGCAGCACTCTCAGGTCCTCTGATGTGCTGCCCCTGGGCCCCCCTCATCACCTCTGGGAGAGGTAGAGCAGCAGGGAGCAAAGGAGCGCTGGAAGAGCGCAACACTGATCAAAGGGAAACTCATTTACAGGTGCCGAGTGTGATGTTGTGAAGTGGGATCAAGCTGCTTATCTCACACACGCACCCTCTCACTCATCTAGTCCATCAGTCACCCGCTTGCCCATCTAGTCAGTCACTCACTCACTCACTCGTTCGCTCAATCAGTCACTCATTTACTTACTTAGAGATCCCTCTCTGTGTAACAACACAAACAAGCAAATCAATAAAGTAATCAGTGAAGGCAACTCTCTACAGGACAAAAAAACAGGCCTGTGTTTACCAGAAGTGCCTTGTTTCATCATTTGTTGATGGGGAGCAGCTTGCTGAAGTTGAAGTTTATGAACATCACCTGTCAGACAGTTGAGTACCAGCCTTGCAATCAAGGCTATTTGGGTGATGTGGCTGAAATGCATTGCTGTGCACATACACACACACACAAACACAAACACAAACACAAACAAACATACACACACACACACACACACACACTTCCTGCCCACGTGTCAGGTAGAGTAAATGGGTATGTGGAGAATTTGTTGAGGGAAGCTATTAGCGAGGATTGATGGATTGAGATCAAAAGGAGGCTGGAAAGCAAACTCTTGTAGGACTGTCAATGGGAAGGAAAGGAGAATGAGCGGAAGAGCTGTTGAAATTGTGCCACCTAGAATAACAAAGAGAAGGATAGAGCAGAGGAATAAAGAGTAGAGTGGAGCTAGAGAAAAAGAAAATGAGATGTTTGCACAGGAAATCAATCAAATTTGAGGCAAGGTGTAGAAAGCAGGGTGGATCTGGAGACAGGGTGACAGATGGAGGGGGAGAGGTGGACTGATAGATGAAGCGAGGGCGTCAAGGCATCATAATAAGGATAATAATCTTTTCACCGCTCTCCGTGACCGTTTGCCCTCTCCTGTACTGCGCTAAAGCCTCAACCTGACAGACATTAATCCTCACCACTAACCTCATCAATACTGGCCTGCTATAGAATATACCCCACAGCAATGTGTGTATGTGTGTTTCTGCATGAAAGTGAACATGCATCTTTTCTGCATCCAACTCAACTGCGAAATAGATGATTAAAAAGCACTGAAATGACAGGTTCAGTAATGTGTGGAAGCACATTATCTCCTGCCCACCATTATGTATCTATCATACAGCAGAGTGAGTGACAGGAGGAGTTGGTTCTGAAGCCTGCAGGGAGGGATTATTATGGCTAGTTAATTTACAAGGTCATCTCCCACTGCCTGCTTCTGCTGTCCTCGCTCAGCTCACATCATATCACCGTCAGGCTTCATAAGGCATCTGTGTCTCTGTATGTTTCCTGTAGAGCTTGTTTGTTCAACTCATATGCTCTGAAGTGAAAAGAGATGGAGATAGAGTTGGTTAAGCTTTTTGCATTCACAATTGTGGTATACTTCAAACGGATGACAATTCATTGTTTTCAGTGGGAGAATGACAGTAATTGTATCTTTTCTGCCTGTGGATGGAGTGCAGATGGAGAGATAGTCTTCCTCGTGTTCAGCTTTCCTTTACTCAATTTCATTTACTGTAATGAAGACAAATTGAATGTCCACAGATCTAGAAAGACGGGCATTTTAGAAAGTTTCTCTCATATTGAAAATAAACTTTTGAAAAAAACGTTGGCTGTGTGGCTACTTTAACCTGTTAACATGGTCGCCGAAACATGGTCACCGGAAAAAAATAAATAAAAAATAAAAAATATTGTTGACTGGTGCAAAGAAGTGTAGTAATGCACCAACAAAGGCAGCAAGAATGTTTGCTACTAGGAAGTAAATGGATGTAAACAATGCAGGATTTAAAATATATACAAAAAATACTATCAAAACAAACATTGACAAGGCAGACTTCCCCTGATAAGAGTATGATGGGAAACCAACCACAGTGTGAATGCAGCCTAATATTATTAATTATTATTATTATTAATATAGGTATAGGGCAAAAAATATGGTCAAGAAATGCACATAATGAAAAAATATACAAATGTAACTAGATGATTTTGAAAGATTGTTATGGCGTTGGTACTTGAGAGCCATACTTTGTAGACATGAGCTGAGATTTACTGGAGCTGTGTGTGTGTGTGTGTGTGTTTGTGTGTGTGTGTGTATTTTAATGACATGCCATGCAAACAGAGCTGAATAAATGATTGACAGACTGAAGTAACTGTTCTAGAACCCTAAGTCTGAAAATGATTCTGTGTGTGTGTGTGTGCTTGTGTAGATACTTATACACAGATAATGACTGATAGCTTTACAGTCTGTCATCACCAGGCTTAAAGAAGAGTCTCTCTGTTTTTCCAGAAGTTGTCATTTAAAAAGTTTCTCAGCCTTTGCACTCAGTCAGAGATAATGAGTCATTTACATTCCAATCCTTTCTTGACGTGAAACATCGACAGCAGGTGGTGGGGTTATGAATAAAAGCACTACCTTGAGTATAAGTGTCTTATTTACATCAATGTGAATGTGTCTGCATCTTTCACTTTTCAAGCACTCAAGGCAAGGATAGTTAGATTGAGAAGGATACCCCCCTCTGTTGTAAAAATCATTCTCCTCCATTTAACTCTTCTAATCGAGTGTGCGCATGTGAATTTAGAGTATGTAGGTGTGACACAGTACCCATTGTTGCATGCAAAATTTTAGGGGTCATGCTGATAATAATGTGTTAAGAGTTGTGTGATGTATTGAAATAGTGACTGTGGAGTTGGCAGTTTAAACTCCTGCACCTACATTTGTTATTACAATGTACACAAAAAAACAGATTAATTAATTAATTATTATCTGTGATGTGTGCAAATCTGTTGGTAGGTAGGTAATCAGAAGGAAACACTTTATCAGTATTATCTCCCATTTAAAGGTACCCTGTGGAATTTTGAGTGGGTCCAACTTTTGTTAGTATATCGTTTGTGCCCACACAAAAATTGTGAACCACACTGATTATGATCATTGTGTACTATTCCACTGATCAACATGGTGGTAACGCGCCAAAGAAACATAGCAATCCCACAACAAAGGCAGGAATGAATAAGGTATGATTGATAACATTAAGACTGCACTCCAATAGCGTCCTGCTATTGTACATGCTGGCTCACTGGCATGGATTACTGGGAAATGTCATTGTTAACTAAGTCTGTTTCACATGCTCCTCTCCAGATATGATTATAGTTAAAACAGCTGTAAAAAAGGTTTATTAGAATGATAAAGGTGTAATTTGTCCCACCCTAAAAGACGCAACATAGCTAACGGAGGGAGATGTCATTCAAACAGTCTGTACACACCTCCACAAAGCTGAGAAGAGGCCTAATCTGGCAACAAAACTGAAATGACCTGTGTGCCATAGGTTTGCATAGCTTTCATACACTTGGCCAGCGCAGAGAGTTGTGTTGCAGCAAGGTCAAATTTGCTGGATGTCCCTGTTTTTTCCCTATAGCCCTTTGCACCAGGAATAATAGTCGCATTGAAATAGACGAGGCACTGTATTTTTGAATTGGTGCATATGTTGGTGTGAACCTGGCCTAACGTGGTTTAAGTTTGCCAGTGCTTGGCATGTCAAGATTTTTCCTCTTTTCCCCTTTGTTGGTGTAGTAATAGTCAGCAGTACGTGCCTACCTTTAACAGAGTTTTGACTAAAAGTTTTATAAGATAGCCGCTGCCTGATATGATGCTATGAAGTCAGGCTGTTCTGAAGGCAACACATCTAAAGCTGGTCCAAACCAGCGTGAGCAGCATGAAGGTGATAGTGGGGTGTGAGTTTGTAACAAAGTGAAATTCATTTCTTTTTGACTTGAAATACTCTTTCCCAGATGGCGTGTGGGGGCTTGTATGCATGTACTTGACCACATGTAGTAAACCAGATCATATGTGCAATGGACAGCTGTGACTAGAGATTATTCTTCACACCATATCCTGTTGTGTTACTTTTTTGCACCCAAAAAATGACATGCACACTTAATGCTGGGGAACGGACACAGTTGTAGAAAGAAAGCCGATGAGACAGAAACCACGTACATCAGTTGCCCGTCTCTTTGGTGCAGACTTTAGTTAGTTTTAAACAAGGTGCAAATAAACTACATCTCATTCTTTGAAGTTTTTCCCCCATGTGCACCGCAAAAGCCCCAAACAGAAAGGGGCTCTTAAAAAATAGGTTGCCTGTTCAATTTGAATAGAATAGAGGCCATGAAAGAGCATACATTTGCAAATAGTTTGCATCTAATTTAGTGCATCTTCAGTGCCATTTTAGGAATAACAAATAACCGCCTTATTTGTCTGGTTTTAAAATCAGAAAAGATAAGTGCTCTTTCACTTTCTTTGCCTTTTAAAGGAAATATTTTAATCAGAATGCTTTACTTGTCTGTGTAGTGTGCTGTTTGTGTGTCTGTTTTCTATGGCAAAGAGGTGGATCCTTTCTAACTAATTTGGACCTCATTCAAACAGTTTAAGTTTTTTGCTGTGATTGAAGCAAATTGTATGAAGTATATTTGTTTAACAATAACCTTGGCATTACTCATGTTGGCGTCCAAACTACTGCTGTGTTCATTGATGTTTTTCCTTTTTCTATCAATTTGTTCTTGTGCACTCAATGCTCTGACAGTCAAATGTATAAAGCAACAGAATTTGCCCCGAGTGCTTTGTATTGTGTGTCAAGCCAGCAGGATACAGAAGCTGTAGATGTACTCACGAAAACCCCTGGACCCCCTTTGAAAGGAAGCTGCACCAAAGGATAAAGAGCAAGCATGCAGTATATATATCATAAGTAGCACTAGAAAGATGTCACGTGTGATATGGCTCTCACGAACAGCACACTTTAGTATGCAAGGCCATATCTGAGAATACTTTCTTTGAAAATCCTTGTGTAACGTGCACTCATAAATGGCAGGTCACATTTTCTTAATTCCTTGCTTAACAGTATGCCATATCCAATGCCAAATACTATTCTTGTTTGTATCCAGCTCCTGTGAATCTAATCATAAGTGGTGTTTCATGTCTGGGGTGAGGCTTTCTGAATGAGATGAGTTTTTTGGGAGGGAGAAATTATGTTATTGCAGTGTGTGTGTGAAGAAAATTACGCCAGGTGTGACGCCAGTTAGACCAGACTAAGGCGGTGCACATAGATAGGAAAATACAAATTGACTCAAGAACTGAAAAATCCTAGAGTGAAGTGGACACTTCCACCCTAAGTTAACCTCTGCGTAAGTGGAAACTGGTTTATTGTGACACTAGACATTGTTTATACCAGTTTGAACTGGGTCATGTACAACAGCATGTTCATTTTAAAAATGTGTCTTCAGGGAATGTAAGATTTAAAACCACCCGCTTCAGGTACGCGTGTTAAAACCTCTCTCTGTCTGTCGTTCTGCAGCTCTCTTGAAGGCATGTGCTGATGGAGCTGCCAATCACCTTTATAACATCACAGCTGGAGATAGAGACAGGTGAGTCTGTCTTGTGTTCACATTTGCATTAGGTAATTTGTGTCTTCGCTTATATGTCTTCCTATGTGCATGTAGTTGCAGGGTTATGTTTGGGGAAAAAGGTGATAAAATAAAAAAATTGCACACTGTTTAATATTATTATGTTTGCTTTTAAGCAGCAGCAGTTCTGTATTATTGTGCATTTAGCAGCTCTGTGTTTGGTTGCATGTGCATGAGTGTGTGTGTGTGTTCACCCTGTTTATGTATTTGCGTTGTGTGTTTCTGACAAAGTACTGTATGTGTGCATTCTGCAACCACATTTTTTCTGTATGTGGCTAATGGAGGACTGCTGTCAGGACAGAGATAGATCTGGGGTCCACTGTGTCCCTGAAGTGTTGAGGCTTTCACATTAACACCCCGAGTGTGAGCAGGAATGTGTATTTTGTCAGGGTGTGAATGTGATGTTGTGTGTCTGTGTTTGTCTGTCGTTGTAACAGCCGTTATAAGTTGTAGACATCGCAGGTGAGAACATTCTGCAAAGCGACATCATTTTGGACCATTTACACCTTTTTCCACTGTGCAAACGTATTCTTGTCCTTGAGGTTAGGACTGTCTTTTAAATCTAAAATCAGTAAAGCTGAAAAGAGAGAGAAAGTCAAGGTTTTGTGCTTTATTGGCCATTCTTAAGTAGCATGATTAAGAAATTACAAAACAATAATATGAGAACTTTTAGTTTGGTATCATAACAATTTGTATTTTCAAAATAAAAGTAGCCGCGTACCTCTGTCTCTGTGAGTTTGAATATGTTAGACCAGCTGGCAGAGGCATCGTTCATGCTTCTGTCTCTTTGTTTGACGCAACAGATTCATTTTCTGACCCTCCAGTCTGAGTTCTGTCAGCAGCCTGCAGAGTGGAGCTGACAGCCAGGCCTCCCTTTTAGCTCGACCGCTCCCAACTCAAACAGCATCTGCCCAGAAAAGTTATATTCCATTATACTGGAAGGGTGTAGACCGGAGGAACAATAGCGAGGATGGGGAGGATGGTGGGGAAAAAAAGAAGGAAATATTTATGGGTGGGGATGTGCAAATCAATCACCAGCAAGTTAAGATGTATTTAACCTAACATTACCATAACTAATGGACTACAGAGAGTGAGAGGAGGGGAAAAGGGGCGAAGGAGATGCAAGTAATCAATCAAAGCCAAGTTTTATGAGTACTGGCAACACAGACAACAGCAGCACCATATTATCAAGTGGAGGGATGTATAAGAGCGATGAAGGAAAAGAAAACCAAAAGAAAAGAAGTTGAAAACAAGATAAAGACGTAATAGATAGCTGAGCAGAATTGTGCCTGTGCGTGGAACTCTGTGTGTTGTGCATTTAGCATTTTCTGTGCGTGTGTGGGTGAACATCATAGAGCTTTCACTTTTTCCCCCAAATTATGTGCGAGTAAAACTGTTACTGGGACATTTTTCTCATCACTGATATCACAGTGAAAAAATATTAAAGGAGGGCTATTTTGTCGGATGCATGCAGAGCTGCTGAGAGGTCACACATCTAAGCTGTAGCTTACACATCAACTCATCGACTCATGAAAGTATCCTCCCATGAAACGTTGATCGTTGCATAATGCTGTACAAATTGTGCTGCTCTCCACTGCAGGGGCACATGTGGCTTTTAAGATCCAGTTGTGGTTAAGAAAGCAAAAGCCATCAATAAGTGCGTCCAACAGCTTGCGCTGACATAAATTTGACCCACATTTACTCTCAGTTTTTTTTTTTTTTTTTTTGGATGTAACAGATATAAGATTAGTCACATGCTCAGCATGTTCATTTGCCTGTAGGAGAAAATTTCGGAGGCAGACCCAAATTAAACTCTGTATGTGGCCTGTAACCATTTTTTAAAGGGTTCACAAAACATACAAGCATTACCAATAAAGGACGAGTAACCGGTAGTGTAATTCCTGTACCACATGTCGCTGGTGCCATATCCCCTCATTAAAATAATAGAGCATAATAAAGTTTTCGGGTCAGCTTCTACAGCCTCCTGTCGGCGCTCTTGCACAAGAATGGAGGTGGGTGGTACCGGCTCCCAACTAGTTAAAAAAAGGTGCCACGTATATTTTCTGTCAAATACAAGCCTTAATTGGTAGTTTCATTTACCGGATGAAGAGAGGAGGAAGCGCGTCAGGCTATAGGCTTTCTGCCTCTCCATTTTGATGTAGGTTAACAAGGACATGGATTTTCGACCCTTCACTGTATTGGTGGCCCCTTAGACAACAAGTATTATTGTGTTTTTTTTCACACATAAATTCAAATGGAACTCGGATCCATTGAAATGCTTTTGATTGAAGGTGATCTTTCTCAAAGCATATGTAAAAGTGAGTGGCAGAAACAAGCTCTGAAAACAGCAGTTTTTGCCACTATTTTCTTATCCTCTTTTTGACTGTTGTGGTCTTTAACTGAGTAATAATGTATACAGTATTCTAATATTAAGTCCTTTTGCACTTGATCACTATATTCAAGCAGTTACTCACTTCTTTCTAAGAATCTTGGGTCACTTGTTCTTTTTCCTGGTATTTTAGATCCAGAGTATACTTTATTTACATAGCTTGGATGAAAATTCGTCACGCCATAATTTATGCCTGTATAAGTGTTTTCTCATGCCTTTTGTCTCTTTATAGCATTAAGCTGTCTTTACTTTGTCTTATCTCTCATAACGAATATCTTCATGTATTCCAACATTGAGTTGTGCTAACATATTTATTTTTTATTTTTTTTAAAGTAGCCAGTTTTTTTGGGGCTTCCTTATTTCCTTTATGATAGTCTGAATCGAGCTGAGACAGACAGGAAAAGGGGAGGCGGGAGAAAGAGGTGGATGATAACACGCAGCTAACAGGACCACAGGTCAGATTCTGAACACCTGGGCCTGCTGCAGGAATAAAAGGAACTCAGCCTGTGTAGGTACAAATTGGGTGGCCAGCTCTACCTACTGAGCTAACCGGGCACCCAAGAGTGTGCTACTTACTGGTAAGAAGCAGAGAGGTAACCTCAAATCAATATCCAGTTAGTGCTGGGACTCTGTCAGTACCAGTAGAAGATCAGGTAAATGTACTGTAAGGCTGTTGTGAATTTGAAAAGGGAACTGATCTGAATAATGTTTTGCTAAGTTGTAAGTAAAGTTATTGACATCAGTATGTGGCTTTGTAGGCCCATTGCACCAGCTGTACTGAATCTGCCATGACACATTTTTTTTTTTTTTTTTGTCATGTTTAGTTCAGACATTATTGATGTGTGACAATACCACATGGCTTCTCCCCTTTTTCTTCTTTGGACACACACAAGGGCACCGGCCTATCTACATAAAGTCGTAGACTACTGCTACTCCATACTGTAGCTTGTGCTATATGTATTATTATCAGTAAATGATTCAATTCTTTTAGCAGAAATCAGTCAAAGGAATGCACCTCACTGCTCACACTCATACTCAACTCACAAAATAAATTGCTAAATTATTATTATACACCAAACTTGTGCTAAAATTGCCTTCATGGGGGCTAAAAGGCTCATTCGCCAGAGCTGGTACCCCCTGGCTCTCTTGCAAATGTAACCCTGTATTTTCTCCATTTCTAAATGAAAATTCCATTTTGTCTAATTTGTGCATCTAATCAAATCCTCCGAGAGGATAAGAAGTCAAGAGATGGATGAACGTGGAGGGGAGCACGGCTGAATGTGGGTGGAGGTAATTGTACATAAGCTGAGTTTATGAAATGTGCAGCTGTGTGTGGATTTGTGGGTGTGTTTGTAGTTGCTGAAAGATACAGATTGTGAACGTTTCAGTGTTTGAATAAGCATGTGTATATGTGGAGGAGATTTTTGGAGCGTAGTTGTAGTCAGCATTGTGTATGCATTTTGGTTTGTAGAAGATAATGCTGTCAGCCTCAGCAAATTAAGTTGTCAAGAGGGAAACTTCTTATTTTATAAGACTTAGTGGTAAAGATATCTCTGACAGTCTCTGTTTCTGTTTGTCTGTCATTCCACGATTTCTCATTCACATCTAACACATTTTATTCTTTATGTTCAGCAGACAGTCCAACATTATGCAGTAGTATTTAATTAGGCCTGCGTAATGTGCAGATGGGGTCAGCAAAGATTTCTAAGGTTGATATGTTGATATTTGTTTTAAAATATTTTTAACAAAACCATAAATTGGTTTGACATCTTAATGTATCATAATCATTATATGGTTCATTTGAAGCTCCCCTCAAATGTTCTGTAATTAAAGTCGCTCAGCTTGGGAACTGTTTAACTGCTGGCATATCAAGAATTGCGTGACCTAAAAACAGGATCACAGGCCAACAGTTAAGAGGAATACACTGCAAATTAATCTGGGCAGGGGGTTTGCAAGACTCATAGACCACCTGATGACTGGTGGCTCCTTCCTCCTAATTGCTTTCAGTGCTGTTAGAAAGTTTTTTATTTTGCACTCAACATGAATCAAAGCATTATGCTCAGTCATTTTACAATAGTACCTTGTTTGACTCATTGTTCTTTGTCTTTGATTTCTTCTTGTGGTAGTTGAGTATAATTTGTATAATAATGTAATGTTACTGCAGTAGGTCTATTGCGTTAGCAGCAACTTCAGTTCTTAATCTACAGTAATTCACTATTACTGATTTTAATTTGTTCTACATTACCATATTATCTTTTGTCAGGAAGCCCATAGCCAAACAAGTTTTCCTCTATTAAGATCAAGTTGTTCTCTCACTACACCTGCTCTGCTGTTACACTCCAGGTGGAGTTTGTCTATGATAGACTGATTGAAAATTCCCCTCTGTGTCTATCGCAGTGTTGGAAATTGGCATGCTGAGTTGAGCTGATGAGCATTGGGAACTGGGCCTTATCTTCTAATATGAGGGCTTTGCACTTTTGTTTTAATTATTAATTATTATACATACATTCCATAATTATAATTGTTCATTTTAATATTTATATGTATGTATGTATATAATATGTTAGTCTATCATACGTTTATTGTATTAAATTTGTAACAATTAAGGTTATAGGCGTCTCAAGTGTGTACTCTTGATTACTCCTATTATTGCTTTAGTAATTCTGAGAGTTAATAAAGTAGGTATGCGTGTGTTTTGGGAATGAGAAGTGTGTGGAATTATGACTATGTCTGGTTATTAGTCTGACAGCCTACAAGCATCGGGCTGATTAACTTTGGGATTAGAAACTGTTGGACCACAAATCACTGGATCACTGTTGGATGAACGAATCCAGGTACAACACATACACGTAGATGCTTTAACAATCATACATCCAACCATGGGCAAACAGGTCAGGAGATTTTTTATTGTTTATACAGATGAACATAAGCATGTTAGAGACACGTGTACATCAGCATGCAAGCAAGCTCTCACTCATGTGCCTTGAGGTCTTACTAATTAGAAACTTTGTTGCAGTGGGATAATAAGATCTCTCTTAGCACTGATTGGTTGTTTCTCATGCCTACGTTTGCAGTACTGCTTTTCTTATGAAACCAGACAAAAACAGACCCCATGCAGCTCACATCTACAAACCAACAATTTACATTTACAAACCAACAAGTTCTCAGATTTGAATAACAAAATAGGTTATTTGTCAGTGCCTTCCAAAATAACCCATCTGACCCTAACACAACTTGTGACTGCTGATAGAAGACAGGATGCTGTGGCGTTCAATGCCAAGCAGACACAAATGTATCCCTAAGAGGTTTTACAGCTTACACATAAATGCGCACACATACATAAATTGAATAAACAGAGAGCTATCTGTCTCTCTCTGACAGGAATGTTCTACTCAGTGTATTTAATTTTCAGTTGTAATCATCTTAATTGCATGTATTAACATGATATTTCTGTCAGGTTTATGCAATTAACAACTGATATTCTGTATGACTTAATTGTGTGATAGTTCTGGGTTATGTGAATCACAAACCATGGGGGAAAGCAAAAGGCTGGGTGAATTAATATTTTATACCAGTAAACTGCATTTAAATGTTCTTGATTTTATAATCACTTATACAAATAATGTGCGTGTACAGTGGCCTTACATAACATAACAACCGTTCAAACCTAGCAGTCCAGGTTCATTTGCATCCTCCAGCACAGGTGTTCCTGTAAAGATGAAAGTTAACATACATTAATTTCATGCATACTAACTGCAAAATACTGTCAGTGTTAATACATGCTATATTCTCAGGGCTTATTACTTTTCAGTTTTTATTAAACAATAGGGACTCTATTTTAGTCATTTAAAATGGCTGAAATTTGCATTTATAGTTTGACTGCTTATTGTTATTTTTTGTTATATAGAGGGACTGTGGTGGTGATCAGCAGCCACATAAAGCAAGAAATGTCCCTGACCATTTTGGTTTAGGTTTTGCGACACTATGTGAGAGGACGGCCATTATTCGCATGACCACAAACGGTTGCA